CTCTCACTCTCTCTCTCTCTCTCTCTCTCTCTCTTTCTCTCTCTGTCTCTCTCTCTCTCACTTTTTCGCTCGTTTTCTGTCCTTCACCTCCCTTCTCTCTTTTTTATATCTTTCTATCTCTTTCCGTCTCTTTCATTCTCTCTCTCTCTCTCTCTCTCTCTCTCTCTCTCTCTCTCTCTCTCTGTCTCTCTCTCTCTCTCATTGATGGCCCGTGAATTGTGTGCTTAGGGAGCATTAAAATGTTTTTTAAATGTTATTATTTATTGTTGTTGTGAAATTCTTTTGACTTTTTAAAATTGCCTAGGATAAAGAATATCTCTATTACATCTGTAAAACAGTGAAGCTCACCTTAAACTTTCCTAGATTCCAAATGTATTGGCCATGTCTCTCCATTGTGATTATTTTATAAACGAAGTCAAAATAGGATCGGCGTGGAGGTGTATCACGCATACTGTCAAAACTCAAAATACCATGTTATTATTATGACATGTTATTGAAAAATGAGCTAATGAGTGCGAATAGACAATCTGTTTCTGTGAGGGTTTACACAGCATACGAAAGCTACTCCTACGACTTCTGATCAAAAAGTACTCATTTTATTTTGCACATTGACAGTTACAGTCTTGTTCTACACTTTTGATTCAGTCTGATACAAGGACTGATACGCACTCTGGCCTGAATAAATAGAGGAACAAGTACATAAAATAGTAAACCTTAAGTTTTCTTCACGAATCATGAAATCATGTTGGAATCGGAGTGGCTCTGAGTAATCGAATCTATGCGGAGCGAAAACGCGATGAGATTTTTTAAAAAGTGAATACGACGAAATTCAAAAATTAAAAACTCAATTATTGTACGAAAAAGGTTTCTCCATGATGAAGCGCTGCGTCCCGACAATTTTGTCTCTGTGGCAAGGAAATGATGATAATATCTTACTTTCGGGGCTTCATGGGGAAACTTTTCCTTTATAAGGCAAAAAAGTGTCATTCCATATCCAAGTGTGCAACAAAAACAACACCAAGTAACAGCACAGCTTTGTTTGGGGGGAGGCGGCGGACTGGAAACTAGAACTGATTTAACTGGAAAAGTCGGAACTTACCAAACTGGAAAAGTATATTTGAGTTGGGATTCATCAAACATAAATTTGTAGAAAATATCTGTTCATTTGCAATTTCGAAAACATTATAAGGCATTACAAGAAAAGGGAGTTCCGTTTTTAGTTACATGTCAGTGTGCAGTGTACAAGTATTCCGCCGTGCCAGGTAGCGGAATTGTTTTATCGCTTGGCGCTGCTGTAATTTTTCCAGAATGTACAAGGAAGCCTTCAACAGCTCCGAATCGTGGTTACCTGTGAAGGCCAGAAAACTGCCCATGCCCAAGCCTTCCCCTTTGATGTGTCTTTGGAATAGACAGGAGAGTAGCCTGAGCCAGAGACTGTGATTTTAGTCTTTGACCTGAGCCGTGGTGCAACAGAATAGCTTAATCTTTTTCACGCTCTCCTTACGATAAGAACTGGGAGGCTCCAAGGTGATTATAAACAAACATTCTATTGGGAGACACACCTAAAGGGATCGGTCGTGACGCAATCTTTAGCTCGTGCCTGGTCACCAGTGTGATTCTATATATAACAGCAAGTAGTGATCACTCCACCCAGCGGTTACACATACGGTATTTACGGTCTGTGACTCCACCGAGAGAATCGTGGAACACACCAAGCCTCTTACTCCTGATCGACTTTCTGTCAACATATGACTAAAAATAGAACCGGCCAATAAATTACTTTGAAAAATTCCTTTCTATTGGTTTGTCGCAATCCCCGTGACCTTAGGTCTGCTGGGGTAATAAAATGGATTGTGAAGTGGGAATTTGCGCTATACAAATGCAGTCTATTATTACTATATTTCGTACGTAGATCTAGTTCAATTTCTCTGGGGAGAAAAACAAAATATCAACGGCTGACAATTTGTGACGAATATAAAATAAAAATCGTGTAAAAGGAATGCACATGAACAAGAAAAGTGCTAAACATGACACAAGCATTAGAGTGGTAGTAAAATGCTATTGGCTACTTTAGTTCTTAATTCTTCTCGAGCTCGACTAAACAATTTAATAATTAATTTGCTTGATTCTGTGAGCTTATTTCTTTGACACTGCCAGTGAAGACCAACGCGATTTTGAAGGGGATACAATACCTCACAGAACAAATCGAGATGGTCATGCTCGATAAAACTTACTATTTCTTACCTCTTTGGTTACAATCAATTACATAATCTCTGGTTACAACAAACCCCTTAGGTAACAACTAACGAATACAAGGGTAGTATGTATATATGTATGTATGTGTGTATGTATGTGTGTATGTATGTATGTATGTATGTATGTATGTATGTATGTATGTATGTATGTATGTATGTATGTATGTATGTATGTATGTATGTATGTATGTATGTATGTATGTATGTAAGAATGTATGTATGTATGTAGGTATGTAGGTATGTAG